ATGTCTTTGCCTCAAACCACGTTATTGCAGATTTTCTTCGCAGCTGCTCTGCACCAGGACCAGTGACGTCATCGCTGCAGATGTTGACAGGTAACTTTCACTCTGCACCTGCCTGTGAAGACCTGTCACCGCAGCTGATGCTGACTTCTCACCTACGGCCAATAATAAATAAAAACTGTTCTTTTTGTACTCTTGTGTTTGGCTTATTTTGAATCCAAAACCTGGATGTGACAGTTCTGTTTGGAGGCAGGAAAACTCTGCATTCCTGCATAAGAACCTTATCCCATCTGTGAAACATGGTGGTGGTAGTATCATGGTTTGGGCCTGTTTTGCCGCATCTGGGCCAGGACGGCTTGCCATCACCGATGGAACAATGAGTTCTGAATTATATCAGAGAATTATAGAGGAAAATGTCAGGACATCTGCCCATGAACTGAATCTCAAGAGAAGGTGGGTCATACAACAAGTCAATGACTCTAAACACACAAGTGGTTCTACCAAAGAGTCAGAGTTTATTTATTGTCTTTCGCACCTCATGTGGTACATGTGGTGGAGTGAAATTATGTACACAGGGTTCCTTTTACATCCAACAATAAAATGTAAAAGAAAAACAGTAATAACATCTAAGATATGAACTAAGAAAAACATCAGCTAAATATACACTAAGCACTCATAACATAAAAACATTACGTCGAACATCAGCACAAACATGAACATGAGTGTATGAGCAGATGAGCACGCATGAACACATCAACATTGAAACAGATCAGCAGCAACATGAAACAGATCAGCAGCAACATGATGTGATTTTTTCACAGTGATTATTCTGGTTAGAGATTCATGAGTCCAACAGCCTCAGGGTAGAAGCTGTTCCTCAGTCTAGTGGTTCTACACTTAATGCTCCTCAACCTCCTTCCTGAGGTGAGTGGGGCAAAAAGTGTGTGTGCTGGGTGAGTGGGGTCCTTCATGATGCAGGTGGCCCTCTTCCTGCATCTAGAGGTGTAGAAGCTAGATACAGAAGCTGTTCTGTATGGAGGAATGGGCTAAAATTCCTCCAAGCCAGTTTGCAGAACTGATCAACAGTTACTGGAAACTTTTATTTGCAGTTATTGCTGCACGGAAGGTCACACCAGATACTGAAAGCAAAGGTTCACATACTTTTATCACTCACAAATATGTAATATTCGATCATTTCCCTCAATAAATAAATGAACAAGTATAATATTTTTGTCTCATATGTTTAACTGGGTTTTCTTTATCTACTTTTAGGACTTTTGTGAAAATCTGATGATGTTATTGGTCATATTTATGCAGAAATATAGAAAATTATAAGGGGCTCACAAACTTTCAAGCACCACTGTGTGTGTGTATATGTATATACTGTATACACACTTCAGGGAATGCAGTCAAAATCTAAATTTTATGAATGGACAAGTAAAAATGACATGACTTTCCAGATTGTAAACAGTTAGATGTTTGTAAAGATGGAAGGTATTTCCATAATTGTTGGATAATCTTTACTTTCGAAGAAGTACATAATAGATACGGGTAGTTTGTAGTCACGCAAAAGAGAACCGCAGTGGGTGGTAGTACCGTTAAAAATTAATTCAACCAAGTCCTTCTATTGCTTTCATCCCCTCTTATATTACAACCTTTGAGTCAAACAAAGAAACTTGGCAAAGAAACAAAGCGTTGGAGAGACAAAGCTAGTGTAGGTTGGAGGTAAGTAGAGATACAGTTTCAATGGGTCACTGGAGATAAGCCCATCAGATTAATAAAGCACAGTCTTCTCACAATTTAGGGACCGGTTGACAGTTTGGCTGGAGATATGAGCACTTCTTTTTATGTTATTTTAGCCTGCTTGAACATAAATTGAACGACCGTTTTAAGTACTGTCGTTTGACCACACAAGAAACAAACAAGAATAGGCAGTCCATCTCATAGCTTGACATTTCTTAATATTAGTAACGGCATGTGTGTCTGTGCTTGTGATGGAATGCATACCTTTCACCTGGAGAAAAGTGAGGAGTGCACTCATCGGATTATGGACTTAAAAGACGATCTACGTAGAAACTGTAATTTGAGCCTCTTTGATGGTGAAAGTCTTGCTAAGAAACAGAATTTATGGACGTATTCCTCAAATGTTTCAGGCAAGAATCAAGGGAACAAAAGCTGTAGGCCTTTTTATCTTTATACAATTGCAGATATTCACATTTTATAGACACTTTAATAAACAAACAACTAGAGATTTATTATTTAAAGCATTTAAAATAGCATAGTTATGATTGATGATCTTTAAAGAGCAATTGCCAAAATATTGATTTCTGTTTTAGGATAGTAAAAAAATATCATTTTAAACTTAGGGTATGCAGTACTATTTTCTAGTACAAGAAGCTCACATTTAAAAATGTCAAATGTAACCAGATTTGTGTTCAGTTAGTTGAAAAATTGTGTTTTTTAGAACAAGAATCTGCACCAAATTTATTTTAAAACTAATTTGTAAGAACTGATTATGAGCTGCATACTCTTTTTGCTGCATTCATATAAAATATAATAAGAAAAAAAACTTTGACTTGTTTGCATCTTCTGCTCATTCATCGTGCAATGCCGCATTCTGCAGGACTCACTTTGATTTGTTTAAATTAACAAGTGTGCAATCTTAATTCAGTATAAAAATGCATTTTGAAATTGTCACAGTTTGTTGAGATTGCACGCAGAAATGCAAACACAAAGAGACAAAGAAAACAAAAATAAATTTACTAAACCAAACCAAAAGACTGACATGGCAGCAAAAACTACAAATTACCAAACTGGCGTAGACATGGAGGAGACCCAGAGGTTGCATGAAGCACAATGCCAGACTAAATATGTTATGAAAGCTGAAGGACTTTATGGACATGGACTGATGAACACCTGGGCAAAATGACAACAGGGAACAGGTGAGTGACAGGAGCTGAGGAGCAGAAGGAAGAGTGAACTGATGCAACGGGACAAAACTGAAACAGAAAGGAACCTAATTTAAAAATAAACTCATGCAAATATAATAAACAGCTCATAACACAAAGATCCTGACAGAAATACATGAAACCCACAGTTAAAATGTAAAAACTAATTTATTTTCAAGATGTAATAAAGCATTAAGATAACATACATGACATAAGATATTTTATTGTGGTTTGTGTATAAAGTAGTAACTTTTAATTTCTGTTCGGAGATCTTAGTTGAATTGGTCTCATAGATTTGGCAGACTTCAAAGTCGGTGTTTCTAGAAAATAAAACACCTTTAAACTACTTGTAGCTTATTGCTGAGAAAGTGTAATGTAATGGAAAGCAAACTCTCCTGTCAAGCAATCAGTCCAGTTCTCGCAGCTTTTTTCCCGTCTCTGCAGCATTTTTGCAGCTGTACAGCCATTTGATTATACGAGCATTGCGCTCAATGACCGATGTTCCTTGATGTGTTTTTTTAAGCAACTCATCCTCGAGCAGCCCGTCACTGTCACCGCTGCCCTTGGAGAAACCGTCGTCTGACGTGGAGATGCTGACACTCCGAATGTTTATAGCGATCTCGTCCGAGCGAGCCGAGAAGTTCTCCCTCCCCAGAGACTCGATCACCTCTCCGTCCAGGCCGCAGAACTTGAAAAACGCATCGAAATCGGCAAAGTTCTTGGAGTACCTGGAGCTGATGTCGGAGTGGGACCGGCCAACCCTGTTTCCAGACCTTCTCTCAATTTCAGGAACTGCAAGGAAACCTCCAGTCGTCCCAGTATAACTGCTTGGGTTGCTACATTCCTCTGACGTGCCATTTGACCTTTTGTCTGGCTCAGAAACATCTACACGGAGGCCACATTCCTTTGCTGTCGCCCCAGGTGTGGTAATTTTTTCCGGCGGTCCTTCAGTCTTACATTCCTTGTCAGTGACTTCACATAATGGGACACCTTTCTTTACAGAACTGAGCAGCAACTTATGAGTCATAAGATGTTTCTGGTCATTTCCTGACCCTTGGAGTAATTCACATTTTTGTCTGTAAAGTAGAAGTGAGTCTTGTCGTTTTCTGTAACTGAGCCGATTCCCTTTCCCTAATAGGCAAGGTTGCGCAACACCTTTATGCTCAGATGAGCTACTTCCTAAGACAGGATTTGCACAACGGTTCAAGCTTCGGTTTGAAGACTCATTGCTACTCACAGAAGCTGAGCCAATACTGATAATCGGCTCCTGCGTTGAGTTGACCACTTGCTGGCTTTTGACGTAACTGGGTTTGCTGGCAGCGAGCCTTTCTACAGCACTCACGCGTCCTTTTGTCTCGTTCTCCCGTTCCATATGCTTTCGAAGATATTCGGGACCCTTCACAAGGATTTTTGTAGCCTCGCGCTTCGTCTCCATCCCTACTTTGGGGAAAGATCAACTCCACTATTTCCAGACAGTTTTTAGTTTGTAGTCCAGAGTCAGAGCTGAGGATTCCATACAAGCCCGCTCTCTGCCTGAGCACGAATCCCAACAGGAGACTTCACCTTGTCTGTTCTAACATATCACTTCACCCCTCCCATCCTGCGCAAGGCTAGTTTTAACCAAACACAAGCCTGTTCAAAGTACACCTGATACCACCCCGAGTGAGAACAATGAAAGCTGAAACTACTGCAGACTGTTTCAGCCCCCTTCTTAATGAGGAAATGCAGGATTTTTTTTTTTTCCATGACAAACCTCCAACAAGACAAACCTCATATTATCTTCAGGGAAAACTGGTTCAGGACACATCTTTCTTCTAATACCGTTTATTCAGGTATTTCCCAGAAAATGTGGCTCATCGTTATTGTGAGAAAAAATGTTGCACAATGAATAGTTACACATTCTTGAATCAGCCATAGTGTGTCATGCTGGACCGTCAACGACTTGTAGATTTTAGTGATAATCAATGGATACTTATCAGAATTTTTTATTTTTATTTTTTCTTCATTTGGCTGCTCTCTCCTTCAGGGGTCACCACATGCGAACTAACTCGCACGAAGACATGGCAGTCAAGTTAATTGTACATAGCTTTGAATCTCCTCGTATTGCAAAGTTACACATCTACCAAAGTACACATCTTACCAAGTTTTAGTTTTTTCTGTTTGTTAAGTAGCTTTTTATGGAGACCTCAAAGTTCGTGTGGCAGTTTCAGTGAGTGCCATAGAGGAACACACATGAAGCAAGACACACAAACTCAAAGTTACTGAAAGACTGGTGATTTTACTAGCTGTGTAAAGTACCAATACTTTTAATGCTTACAAACACTCAGTTTTAGGCGAATATTACATTTATTTGTCTCATAATAACACATTATCCTTCCCACATAGCTGATCGCCTAATCGGTTTCTGACTAATCAATAGAAATTGTCTAGTGGTTCATGAGATATTTTAATAACAGATTGACAGATGCACACTGGGAAAAATATAATTCACCTTGGCCTTTCAGTGGCAGGTGGTAATAAATAATGACTTGTTTGTAGACACAATTTGACACCAGCTAGTGCAGTCTAGAAGTATTTTATTCTGTTGGACTAGAGCAGAATTTCTTCTTTGTGCCAAGATTTCCTGATCTATGCACTGATGATCAATTCTAAGGATAAGAAAACAAAATTTTAATAAATGATATATGTGGAGACGAGCAAAAAAAGATTAAAAAAAGTACATACATGTGAGTATTTTTATTGACTAGCTTAATTTTTTTACAGCAGTGGGTTTCTTTTCAACATCTTTTGATGTAATGTATATAGGTTGTGAGTCAATTTTGCCATCCATCCATCCATCCATCCATCCATCCATCCATCCATCCATCCATCCATCCATCCATCCATCCATCCATCTATCTATCTAT